TCAGCTGACCTTTTCTGCACCATCCTGATTCCAGTCTCTGCTCCAGGCTTCATTTCCCACAAGCCTCTGTGACTTGATCAGGCAACGGTGGAGGAGAGTGAGTCATCTTCTAGGATGACTAGCTCCTGGTCTCAGGGTCAAGTTCCCACCACAGAGTTCTGTTTGCTCTACACACTCTGCACACATGTTGCACCACACCATCCTCTGACTGCATTTCTTCAGCACATCTCTCCCCAGAGTTTGCAGTGCTCACCTACAAAAGCACTTCCCCAAGGGCACAGTTCACCCCACCTGGCATAAATGGTGTGGTTTATTTGGAAATAGTGGCTTAACTATATTTTGTAGCTAAATTACCTCTGATAGATATATTGCCCACTGTTTCATATCATATTTTTTAATGCTATTGCACTGATATATGTAATTCTCTAACCCACCATGTTAACTGGAAGTCTCTATATTTCCTTTTTCCTTTTATCCTCATATTTTCTCTTTTTTCTTTCTATTATTTTAGCTGTATTTTTACATTCTTTTGTTTATAATTTTTTTACTCTATCTGGTTTTTTATTCACTCTCTTTTATCTAGTTTTATTTGTGCATTTTTCATTGCTGAACAATCAGATGTTTTTATCTCTTACTTACTCTCTCCTCTCCCACCTCTCCCATTATCTGAACTCTTTCTTTTCTTTTACTTAATCTTTCTACTCTTTTTGCTTTCCATTGTCAGCCTAGAAAAAGAACTTTAGGCAACTAAGAAATGCTGAGAGGAATAGAAATAGTCTTCACAGGGAAGAGTCCACAAACTGATTGTCCAACACCAAATTATGAGCCCTGAATTCACAGACATAAAAGTAACATTATATGAACTAAGCAGGTTGAATTTATATATTTAGAAATATACCCATATTTCTTAAGAATAAACACACACATCAACAACTAAAATAATGGAATCCATAAAATATGAGAAAGAGCAATTGTTGTACATGGGAAGGGTGGGGAAAGGAAAGGGAAGAGAAAAAATGATCTAATTATATTTTAATTTCAAAAATAAAAATTAATAAAAGAGTACATAGGTATAGAGCTGTAGATCTAGGAGAAGGCAGAGTGAATATGATTAAGTGTATTATACAAAATTAATAGAAAGAATATTGTCTTAGTTAGGGTTTCCACTACTGTGATAAAACACCATGGCCAAAAGCAACCTGGGGAGGAAAGAGTTTAGTTATCTTATGCTTCCATATCACAGTTCATCATCAAAGGAAGTCAAGGGCAGGAGCCTATGCAGAGGCCATGGAGGGTGCTGTTTATTAGCTTGCTCCTCGTGGCTTACCCAGCCTGCTTTCTTATAGAACCCAGGACCACCAGCGGAGGGATAACACTACCTACAAAGGACTGGGCCCTCCCCCGTCTATCACTAATTAAGAAAACACCCTACAGGCTTGCCCACAGCCTGATATTATGGAGAAATTTCCTCAACTAAGGCTCCTTCTCCTCTGATGACTCTTGTTGATGTCAAATTAACATAAAACTAGCCAGTACAAGTATCACATACTGCAAAGGAAAGTAAAGTACATATACAAAATGAAATTACATGCTGATGTGGGAGTCCCCTCTGTATGCTGTGATTACCATTAATGAATATAAAGAAACTTTTTTGGCCTATTGATAGGTCTGAAGTTAGGTAGGCAGGGAGGACTGGACTGAATGCTGGGAGAGAGAAGGGCAGAGTCAGGGGATGCCATGGATTCACTGCTGGAAACAGACCTGCTGAAACTTTGCTGGTAGGCCACCACCTTATGGTGATATACAGATTAATAGAAATGGGTTAAATTATGATGTAAGAGTTAGCCAGTAAGAAGCTAGGGCTAATGGGCTTGCAGTGATTTAATTAACACAGTCTCTGTGTGATTCTTTTGGTTTTGGGCAGCAGGAACCAACAAGCGGCCCCTCCTCCAACAGATTGGCACCCACTTGGCCAACTAAATCCATGTAAAACTTGAGAGGGCTTGAAAAGTAATTCTAGAAAAAAAAATAGTTTAACACAGCTTCTTGCTGTTGGCTGGTGACATGCCCCAGCTCCTTTAAGAGAGGTTTTCCTGACTCAGCCATAGCAAAAGAAAAAGAGCTGCACCATTTTAAAATGCTGGCTTTCTGGGTCATGCTGCCAGCGTGACCTCTGACTCTTTCTGGAGACAGAGCATTTGAGTGAGGTTTGTGAGCAGATTGCTGCAGCTTGCAGATTGACATCAGCATGAACTGGCTGTGTGCCTAGAGATGGGGCACTCTGCATGTCTCTCAGAGGTGGCAAGCAGCTCCACCATGCTGGAATGTACAGAGTGAGCAGACATTTTAAAAACCACTCCTGGAGAGTAAAGAATTACAGATATGCAATAAAGACAAATTCAGATGAGTCATAGGGCTGGATACATGTACATAGGCTTAGAAGAGGGAAGAAAAAGAGTATAGATAGTCATAAAATAAAGTTAATGCTTTAAAAGGGGGATAAAGTCTTTAAAGAGACAGAGTACAGACAGTCATAGATTAAAAGGAGTAAAGAAAAATAAGCCACATAAAGATGGAATTACACAGAGAATCTAGATTATGATAATATTGTGTTTTCTTTGAATTTTTTGACTGTGAAGAAGCTAAGTACAGAGAGATATTTCATTGTATGGGCTGTTAAGGTAAACCAGCATGTATATTATAAAGATATTTTGACTTCAGAATTTGGGTCTAAAGATATGTTGCTTTGGAAAAGATGTTCTTCTTTTGTCTCCACAGAGGATGAGAACTTGTGGATTCATTCTAGGCTAATATGGTATGATGGACCAAGACTCCCTGAAAGGTCACCATGAACACCCCCACAAAGAAAATACTTCACCCAATAAATACCAGGAAGCAGTTTGGAGAGAAAAAACTACACCCATATTCCCAAATACTGTTTATAATTGTTTGTTTATATTTAAAGGGGGATATGCTATAGAGATGAATAATTTGCTTTGGTATGGATTTTGGTTTATTAATACAAATTTAAAGTAAATTTTGATATACTGTATATGTATATTCCTGCCCATGATTAAGATATTGTTTTGTGTAGTTCATTTAAAAATTTAATGTATAATTAAGAAATATAGGTTAATAGGTAGTCATCTATAATAGTCAAGTTGTAGTCATGTTAGTTAGGTTTTCTAGATATATTTCAGTTAGTTAGATATTCTTCAAATATTTCAGAGACCTTCAGAACATGACATTTAAATGTTTTAAAAATTTAGGACTTTTAATGACAGTGAGACACATGTGCTCCTGGCAGCACCAATCTACTTCAAGAGGAGGATGGGCATCAAAGAGGCTCCTTATGGAGACTGTTAGATGAACTGGACATGCAGGATACACAGAGAAATGACTGCTGAATTGCCTAAAGGTGGGGCAATCCTTTGGGGTTTCTGCTTCATGATAGAGTCTGCGAAATACAGAAGAAAGTGACTGGCAAACTGCCAATATAGCAGACCTGTCTTTGAAATGTCCTGCTACGTGAAAAAGTTTGCTGGATACTATGGACCTGAAGGCCAAAGATGGATGCCCCAATGTTACAGAAGAACTTTGGGTGACTGTCCAGGCAGTGAGATGTCTCCGTCATTTCTAGAGTTTTGGAAGTTGCTTACAATACACTTCCTATTTATTTAGTTAATATTATATCCTTCTGGAGTCTTTGATGGAGTTGAAGAATTTATGGTTATAGTTTCCCTTAGTTATGATAAAAGATAAAGTAGATATAAATAAATATTGTAACTGTAATTCTTTCTGGATACCTGTTTTGTTATATGTAATTTTACTATGTTAAACCCTTCCTTTTCATTTAAACAGAAAAGAAGAGGTGATGTGGGAGTCCCCTCTGTGTGCTGTGATTACCATTAATGAATAAAGAAACTGCCTTGGCCTGTTGATAGGGCAAAAGTTAGGTAGATGGGGAAAACTGGACTTAATGCTGGGAGAAAGAAGGGCAGAGTCAAGGGGACACCATGGATTTGGGGCCAGAGATACACCTGCTGAAACTTTGCTTGTTAGCCACAACCTTGTGGTGATATACAGATTAATAGAAATGGGTTAAATTAAGATGTAAGAGTTAGCCAATAAGAAGCTAGAACTAATGGGCCAAGCAGTGATTTAATTAATACAGTTTCTGTGTGATTATTTCAGTTCTGGGTGGCCAGGACCAACAAGCAGCTCTCCTTCAACAATACGCAGCTCAGTCCAGTCTCCTTCATCTACTTCTACCAGGAACACCACACCCACAGCTCCTCCTTGTCATATGACCATCCAATCCACAGTTTTTGAATGATTCCTGGGTCCTTAGTAATATTTCCCTCCTAATAAAAAGGTTCAAATATCTGGGATTCTAGAGATGATTCGGGTGTTAGAAGCACTTGTTGCTCTTGAAGGGGACCCTGTCTTTATTCCCAGGACCTACATAGTGACTCACAACCAGGCGGAACTCCATTTCCAAGGAATCCAGCTATATCTTCTGACATCCCTGGACACTCTGTGCATGAGTTGCACAGGCACACATGCAAGGAAAAACATTCAGATACATACAATTGTAACAAGATTTCGCCTTAAAAGAAATAAAATAAAACAAATCTTTTTTAAGATTCAGTATCTGCAGCCAGGCTTCCTGTATCATCACAGTGAAATCCAAAAATTTGAATTCTATCACAAAGCACAGCATTCACATTTATGAGGCCTTTTTCATGTGCTCAGCCATATAAATATAGGTTTTTAGTTCTTGATTTGATCACCTGGACCAAAGAGAGAACCCCCAGGTAATCCCTCTTTAGTGTTTTTGAATCAAGCCTGACAACCAGAGGTCTCCCTCCACATTCCTTGTTGTGGGTGTTGCAACACAGACCGGTCACTGTTAGGAGATAAGATCATGAGATAAAAAGACTGGACTACATAAAAAAGGACAAAGGTCCTCCTTTACTCTCCGAGTATAAAGGCAGAGCACCTCAGCTTTGGCCACCAGAGCCTGTCATCCTCACTGGCCATCATGCTGGACTCGGGGCTGTTCTTAATGGCCATACTGGCCTGCCTGAGTGTCATGGCCTTGGTGTCTGTCTGGAAGCAGAAAGTCAGGAGGAAACTCCCTCCAGGACCCACTCCTTTGCCTTACATTGGGAATTACCTGCAGCTGAATAGAAAAGACGTATACAGCTCCATCACAGAGGTATCACCCAATGAGGGGATTGATGGGATGTGGGAGTATGGGACTCTGTGTGATTTTGCATGGTTTTTGTGACAGATGATTCATAGGGTGAGGCACAGTCCTATGATGGGGGAATTGGGAAGGCTTGGAGCTCCTCCAGGTCTTTGGTAATTTTTTCCAGTTATTTGATTGTTGATTCCAAGTAGGATGACATCACAGTATCTAACCCTTGTGCACTGGTCCAGTTAGGTTAACAACTCACCTAACGGCTCCCATCTACTCCACATCAGCTCAGTAAGCGCTATGGTCCCGTATTCACCATCCACCTTGGACCTCGCCCGGTTGTGGTGCTCTATGGATACGATGCAGTCAAGGAGGCTTTGGTGGACCAAGCCGAGGAATTCAGTGGACGAGGCGAACAAGCCACCTATAATACACTCTTCAAAGGCTATGGTGAGGGGAATGCCACACTGGGAAACATGGCTAGGGACACTTGTGGGCTTCATTTAAGTAGCTTGTCCCCCTAACTCATCGCTCCTTTCAAGGCTGTGGGTCCTCTGCTCTTCTCTCCACATCCCTGTTGAACGTCGCCTCTCACTGTGTCCCTCGCCATCCTGTCTAATCCGTGACCCTTGCTCCCGGTTGCTCTCTACCCTGTCTGCCTCCTCTCCCTCACTAAATGTCTGCCTTCGGTGCATCTATCGTTAAGAACCTTTGGACATCCTCCTAGATTGAGGATGACAGCCTCCTAGATTAATTTACCTGATATTTTTATCTTCTTAAAACATTTTAGAATGAATTATTTACTTAATTTTTCTGTGTATGAGTGTTTGCTTGTGTGGCTGTACATGCACCATGTGTACCCCTGGTGCTCGTGGAGAAAACCAGAGAGGTCATCACTCTTCATAGAGTAGGGGTCACAGCCACTTGAGAGGACAGGAACCTGGGTCCCCTGCTAGACAACAAGCGTCTTTATCCACTGACCCTTCTCTCCAGACACTGATGTTTTTCCATTTTGCTGCCTTCAGCTTCCACACTCCATCATAACTCTTTCTCTTTCCCTCCCTTTCTTCCTCTGACTTGAGAATGACCAATGTCATTTCCTTTCCTGGGAACCTGTGGGCAACTGCCTCCCTTTGCTTTCCTTGTCTCCCAGTGCTTATGTTTCTAGAGCAACTCGGAATCATTCACAAACATTGTTTCCAATGACCCCTCTAAGTGCTCAGCAGCTGCCTGTAGTTTTAAATGCTGTGTTACAAACTTCAGATGTTTTCTCCAGGATGAGTCTAACTCTCATGGAACGTTATAGTCCAGGAAGTGCTGGCCAAGGCTGAAAACCACACTGGCCTTGAGCAGCAAAACGTTTATTATAGGCAAGAAAAGGCAAAATACAGAGAAAGCACAAAGCACACCTATCTTTATACATTAACTCTGTGGTAACTGTCTAACAAACAGGAGGTGTCTGTTTCCTTGAAGAACTGAGAGATACACAAATGCCTACCACTATCTAGTGTCAAAATACAGAAGTGACCACAGCCCAGGCCGCATAAACAAAGGCAGAGCCAGGGACAAGGGCATGTTTGTGTGTAGCCAGTCCTTGCTTTACTGGAGATTTCAGCAAATGTTGTCTGGCCATGGGATTCTTGGTGCTTTCGCCATTTCAGAGACCCAGAACAGCTAACCAGTATCTTGGAGCATGATGGAGCTGGTCCAGCTATGAAGTCTCCCTGTCCTCTGAGTCTCTTCTTTTGCCTGGTTGCTGCTGTTTCTCTTTGTCTGGCTGAATTGTTCCATCGGTCTTATTCAGTTGGGTGTTCATGATACAGGGACTGTGTTTGTAATTGCTGTGTTCTCTCCGTCTCTATCCAGCTGTGTCCCCTTCCTTGGCTCTTGGGCCCCCTCCCCAGTGTGGGACTTGGTCATCCCCAGCGTCACTCCCCGTCTTCTCCGCCTCCACGTTCTCACCTTTACAGGTGTGACATTCAGTAGCGGGGAACGAGCCAAACAACTCAGGCGCTTCGCCATCACAACACTGAGAGATTTTGGTGTGGGCAAGCGTGGTGTGGAGGAGCGTATTCAGGAGGAGGCGGCCTATTTGGTCAAGATGTTACAGGGCACTGGTGGTAAGCAAGAGACCCTTAGGTGTTTGGGCAAGAGAGGGAACAGCCCCAACAGCCTGTGGGTTGTGGAAAAGAGGGTGGGGAAGAACGTCTAGAAAATGGCCCCTGGATCCTGATGCCCAGAGTATGTCCCTCATGCCAAAGTCCACATCATCTGCTTCACTCTTGTCTCCCTCATAATCCCTATGTCTTCCCAACCACGCCTTGCCTCTCAGGAAAGCCCATTGACCCTACCTACTACCTGAGCAAATCAGTCTCCAATGTCATTAACTCTATTGTCTTCGGGGACCGCTTTGACTATGAGGACGAAGAGTTCCTGTCGCTGCTGCACATGATGGGGCAGATAAACAGGTTTGCAGCTTCCCCCACAGGGCAGGTAAGCAACCAGCTCTTCCTCTCACCTTTCTATTGTCCTGCAGCATCTGTCCCCACACAGGGCATGGACCACCCCAATTTTCATCCCCACAAACATAAGCTGCCCCCAAGACCAGCCCTTACCCTCAGACAACTGACCTTTACTTCAGAACCCATGGGAGCTATCTGCTATGCAGAATCTAAGGACACCTGGATATCTCAGAGGTTTCCCTGACGACAACCTGGGAGGGTTTCCCCAGATTTCCTTAATCTCTAACAAATCCTCTGTGTGGTCCTTCTGAACATCCAAACCCCTGCTCAGGGGAGACACATAGCTCCTTTAGGTCCCTCCTTCATCTGCCAAAGCAAAGCCAGTAAAATTATTTGGCCCCTACACCACTGTCCCAAATATCCTACCGGGACAACCGGGGCAAGAGACATCTGCTTGTCCCACATAAATTCAGAAATGAGTAGACAGGCAAATCAAAGAAGACATCTAAGCACAACTCTCTGGATAGCTGTTTTCCCAAACACCCAAATGAGTGTCTCCCAGTCCCATACAGGCCACATTAAAAAAAAATCTGACAGGTGTGCCTCATGCCTTATAACCTGAACCATCTCAGGCTGAAGACCTGACTATCTAGAAAACAGATGCTAATCTCAGACAACTATCTAGACAGCTAAACAGCCCGCCTGGATACCTAAACTTCTAGGTTCCCCCATTGCACTCAGGGGCTTAATGTCTGATAGTGTGCCCCTTTGATCCACCTCATGTAAATTGTTGGACAATGGATATCTGCTTAACCCACCTATGAAACTGCTATCTGTGGGGCTGCAGCAACAGCTCAGTGGTTAGGAGCATGCACTGCTCAACTCTTAGAGAACCTGCTGTCAGTTCCCAGCATTCATGCTGGGCGTCTGACAACCGCCTTGTCTTAGTTAGGGTTTATTATTGCTGAGAGGAGACATCATGACCACAGCAACTCTTACAAAGAAAACATTTCATTGAAAGGGCTCACTTACAGTTCAGAGGTACAGTCCATCACGGCGGGGAGCAAGGTGGCATGTAGGCAGGCATGGTGCTAGAGAAATCGCCTAACGACTTACATCTTGCAGACAACAGGAAGTGGAATGACATATTGGGTGGTATCCTGAGTACAGGAAACCTCAAAGCCCGCCCCCACAACAACACATTTCCTCCAATGAGGCCATATGCACTTCAACAAAGCCATGCCTCTAAAGAGTACCACCCCCTATGAGATGATTATGTGATTATGGGGGCCAATTCAAACTACTACATACATGTAACTCCAACTCTAAGGGATCTCAACTCTAGGGGATCTGACTTTGGACACCTGTACTCTCACACATGTATGCAAAATTAAAAGTAAAAAAATAACAAAATGAATACAAAGAGTTCTTTCTAAAATAAAGCAGAGTTGTTGTGTGTACAATCTAGCCTCCTATAACACATTAGTACAAAATGCCTTGAGCCAAGAAACACTGCCTGAGACAAGTTCCTTTCCCATTGGGCATTGCTACTAATAGCTCTCTCTCCCATCCTTTCTCTCCCACCCCCAGCTCTATGACATGTTCCATTCAGTGATGAAGTACCTGCCTGGACCACAGCAACAGATCATCAAGAATACACAGGAACTGGAAGACTTCATGATCAGGAAAGTGAAGCAGAGCCAGAGTACCCTGGACCTCAACTCCCCACGGAACTTCATTGACTCTTTTCTCATCCACATTCAAGAGGTAATCCCAGTGTCTGTGGGATGGGAGGTCCAACACCAGGCAGCTAGAAACCACTCTAAAAATGAAGGAAGAACTGAGGCCTGTTAAGCCCCCAAGATGCTCCTCACAATCCCATTTATAGTTAAACATCCCTCTTCCATCTGTTGAACTGTATCCAAGCCAGGGAACCAGCAAGCAGATTTGCATGCTAACCCATTTTCCAGCAATGTCCCCTGCAAGACACAGTTTTCAGTACATCCTGCTTTTTACCCACTTAGCATCCCCTGAAGCTACTTTGCAGACTCTGTGGAGCCTATATTTAACAAATGAGGAAACTGTGCCCAGAGTCTCTAAGTGGTCAATCAACCTGACATCATACAACAAGTGTATCCCTAACACAGTCCCTTGCCTCTTCACTTCTAAGGCTTTCGCTATGAGCCACCATGATCTTATCATTTCATATCTTGATTCTTAAATGTACATGAGTGGCCCAGGAAACCTGATTTTTTTTTCTGATCAAGCCGTCCAGTTTATTATTTCCTCAAAAGCTGTTATATAGCAAACGGGCAAAGGGGGGAAGGGAAGTCAGGAAACTCAGGTCTGCTGGAATTCAGGTCCGGAGACATCCCTAGCAAAACCTTTTTTTTTTTTTTTAATGTGACATCAGAGAGCTTCACAGACAGGACAAAAAATGACATGGAATTCAGTAGAGTGTGAAGGTCAAGGGTCTGGTTAGGGACTCTTCTATGGGTTGTTGAGGAAGGAGGAGAGATTGACATTTGAATTCTGGGTCTGTGTCTCACCTGTCTCCAGTGATACACTCCATCATGGCCTCTGTGGAGTGGAACTCTTTCTCACAGTCCTTACCCCTCCCTTGATACATGTTATAACCATGAAGAATAACAACAGAATGACCATTAAAGGACAGACAGTTGGCTAGAGAAAGGAGCAAATTCTCACGCACATCCACGACTCCACACATGACCTGGAGGATACCTTTCCCACCTTTGAGAGCTGGGTCCAAAGACAACTCCAGAAGTGGTGCCCACAGAACTTCAGTGGTTCCACCCTGAGAAACTTAATCAGCAATTGCTGGCTGTTGAGGGGAGATGAAATCATAATGCTTAGTCACGTGGCCACTGGTTAACTGCCCTAGCTCAAATAAAGCACCCCTCACCCATACGCAGGCAGCTAACCCTATTCATAAGCAGCGACCGCAAAAAAGATATGAGACAATTGGAAGGGACTTTTTAGGAATAAGAAAGGGTTTGATGGGGGGAGAAAGGAGAAAAGAGGAGAAAATAGGTGGGAATATGTTAAAAATACATTTTTGAATCATGTCTGAAAAATGAGGACACGAGGTTCACTGGGTATGGAAGGGGTCTAACTGGGAGGATTTGGGGGAAAGGTCTGAATATACTCATAATACAATGAATGAAAATTCTAAGGGAATTAATAAACTATTTGTAAAAGAATGACTAGAAATTTTTTAGACAATTAAAACCCTTAATGTCCCCTAAAGGAATGATAAACTGATGGGTGGATTTCTCTCTCTCTCTCTCTCTCTCTCTCTCTCTCTCTCTCTCTCTCTCCCTCTCCCTCTCCCTCTCCCTCTCCCTCTCCCTCTCCCTATCCCTATCCCTATCCCTATCTCTATCTCTATCTCTATCTCTCTCTGCAGGAAAAGAAGAACCCCAGTTCAGAGTTCCACATAAAGAACCTGGTGATGACATCACTGAACCTCTTCTTTGCTGGTTCTGAGACAGTCAGCTCCACTCTGCGCTATGGCTTCCTGCTGCTCATGAAGCATCCAGATGTGGAGGGTGAGGCTGGCTCTGGAGCATGAAAGTGAGAACCACAGATGCTCCAACCTCCTTTCTGAGCGGACCACAATGCCCCTCACCTCTACCCAGTCCCTGAATGCTCAGGCATACCCTGCTATGCAGAGCCAAGAGAATATAAAATGCTCAAACAGGGCTTTCATTAGCTGTTAAAATATTAGACATTTCCAAATAGATTTCCCACTTGCTGCCAGACTCCTGAACTCTGGTCCATGCCGGCTCTCCTCCCTGTTATCCCCCTCATGATTCTATCATGAGAAGGATCAAATGGCACTGGCCAGCATATAGGTGTGAAGATGTGTTTCAAATGGTCTATATGCATGTTATTTACAGATTCATATAATACAAACTGTTTTACATGTTTGAACTATGGCACTTGCTCTGTATTCCCTAGACCCTTAAATACAACCCACCTCTCCTCTAGCCAAGGTTCATGAGGAGATTGACCAGGTGATTGGCAGGAACCGACAGCCCCAGTTTGAGGACCACATTAAGATGCCCTACACCGAGGCTGTCATCAATGAGATCCTAAGATTTGCCAACTTTGCTCCCTTGGGCATTCCTCGAAAGACTATCAAGAACACCACATTCCGTGGCTTCTTCCTACCCAAGGTACAGCCATGCTCACGCAGGAGAGGTCTCCAGCCCTCTTCCTGGTGCCTGGATGTCCCCTTTTAGCTACAGCTATCTAACCCCACTCTAATTCCTCCAATCAAAGAATCCCCCAGCTACCACATCAGCCTCCCCAGGATCCTCTGATTAGATTGCTGTCACCTCACCTTGACTTAGTACTTCGGGAGATACATCTCCATGCCCCCAACTTCTTGTCTCAGGGAAGCAACCTGATTTCTAACCACTCTTCTGCCTTGTTGGTCACCAACCCCTCTACTCCTGTACTGAAGGAAAAGCCTTGTGTTCCTCCAATAGCCAGTCTCAGAACATGCACTCCCTTGAGCTCAAATCTCTACCACAGGCCTCACACATCACATCCCCTCTAAACTCATATTCCCTAGTGCCCCTCCCTCAGAGACCCCCAAATATGTGTCATCCAGTTCTCTTCACCTGGGACCCTAGAACCTCTGTGAGGTATTTTCTCCACCAACCCACCTATTCAAATCTCTTTCCTTCTCTCTTCCAGGACACGGAAGTGTTCCCTATACTAGGTTCTCTGCTGACAGACCCAAAGTTCTTCCCTAACCCCAAAGATTTCAACCCCCAGAACTTCCTGGACAACAGGGGACAGTTGAAGAAGAATGCTGCTTTCGTGCCCTTTTCCATAGGTAAGAAAACACAGGCTTGCTGGACCACTGCTCACATCAACGGGGTAGCTCATCCCCTCTCTGGGATGCAACCTAGCATCCTTTTCCTGCATCAAGGTCCTATTGGAATCTAATGTCCAGTCAACCAGGTGCAACCCCTGTACCTCTAATGCACTGAGAATCTGGACACAGGTCAGAGGGTCAATTGGACTCCTTTCGGGGATGGGGGAAAAGCAAAGCTCAAATTGAGTCTGCCATCTTTTCCAAGCCATGCAAGCAATTCTTCAGACTCTTAGAAAGGAGACAACAGCACAGCATCCATATTTGAGAGCAAAACTGGTAGAGGAAGCATCTTGACTTCCCATTGCTCCAGCCTAGAATGGGTGACCCCACTTCGTGTATAGGGAAACTGGGGTTCAGAGGGGCTTAGGAGTCTTTCGTGATGATCCCTTGGGCTTCAGCACTTGGGTCCTTCTCCCCAAGGGAATGCAGCTGTGCACATGGCATAAGGCAAAGCAGCAGTGAGAGTTCTCTGTGTTCCTCCTCTCTCTCCTCTTCAGGAAAGCGCTTCTGTTTGGGGGATGGCCTGGCTAGGATGGAGCTCTTCCTCTTCTTCACCACCATCTTGCAGAACTTCCGTTTCAAGTTCCCAAAGAAACTTGAAGACATCAATGAGTCCCCCCAGCCTTTGGGATTTACCAGGATCATACCAAGTTACACCATGAGCTTCCTGCCCATCTGACTCTAGGCTCAACCAAAGTGGAGCCTTGGTTGCTCAGAGGGAGGGAGAGTCTGGAGTAAGGCCAGAGTGAAGGCAAAGCAAAGGGAAAAGGTGAAAACTGGGGGTTAAGAAGGGACCACATGGCTGGAAGAAAATTTAAGCACCTACTTAAATTGTGTTGGTAATAAAACAGATACCATGCAGTGGACAGTGGTAATAACAGCTGTCAGTCACTGAGCATGGGTTCCTTGTCAGCTCTGCCAAAGTTGCCCCATCATCCTCTTATTTGGGACTTGAAACCAAAGAAGAATAATGTGTTCCCCAGCCCCGTTTCCAGGTTTCAAGGATGTAACTTACAAACCTGAGTCTAAACTCTGGTTTAAAAGACTCAGGTTAGCTATGTTTAGGGCACAGGACTTGAACCCCAACACCCAGGAGGAAGAAGTGAATGGATCTCTAGGAGGCCAGCCAGGATTATACAGTGAGACATTGCTCCAAAACAACAGCAAAACCCCTCAGTTTATTTTGCATTCCCACAGGCCATAGAGCCCAGCTTGTTCTTGAAGAGAGATCTGTATCCAGCCATTTGGGCAGGGCTTTTGATGTTCTGTTTAGGGAGTACTTTATTTGTTCTTGAGGTTTTTCCCCCTTTTTCTTTTGTACATCAGTCATTTGTTTGGGATATTTTATTTACATTTACTTATGCGTGTAGGGGGTAGAGCAGGCCATGGCACACATGTGGAGGTCAAAGGACAAGCTGTGGGAGTGTGTTCTCTCCTTCCTACATGTAGAGCATAGGACTCAACTCACATGGTTAGTCCTGACAGCAAGGGGTTTTACTCACTGAGTTTTCTAACTGGTTCATTTAGGAAGTTCTTATTGTCACCCTTGCCTCAACTGAAACCACAGGGGCCTGGGATATTATTGCGAATTCTGAACAGCCCTGTCTGGTGTCTTTCTTCCTTCCTGTCCTGGTGGGCAGCTGATCTAGCTCCAACACACACTGTCCCACATACCCACCCCAATCGCCAAGGCATTCTGTGCTACCCCCTGCAACCCCCAGCCTATGCCAGGTAAGCCCACTGTGGCTGACTCAGCCCACCTGGGACATAGGAATAAAAACACTTTGGCAGCAAGCAATCTAAGAGAATACTGAATTATCACAGTCTGGCAAGGAAGCGTGTTTCACACATGGAGTACACATGGTTGTGTGTTCACCCGTTCCCCTCAGTCACATGCCCATGAACTCTGCATGTGTTTCTGAAGGGTGGGGGTCTTTAGAGCTCAGCTGCAGGGCACAGCTAAAAGTGTTAGAATCTCCTGCTTATTCCCACGCAATTCAGTGTAAAACCTGTAAGAGACAAAAATCCTTAAACTGGGGAGACCTGAGGGGAGGAGCTGGGATGGAGAATGGGGAATAGTCTTTGTCTTCTAAGACAGAGGGAAAGATGGCAACAAAAAACCGATTCCTCAAATTTTCAGCTAGAAATTGGTAACCCGGGGATGCAGAGGTAGCATATGGGTTAAGAGCATGTGTTGATTTTCCAGAGGACCCATTCAGCGCCCAACACCCACAGTGGGTAGCACAAACCGCCTGTAACTCCAGATCCAGGGGCTCAGACTCCTCTGACTCCATAAGCACCTGCTGCCACTCACATACCCATTCTCCTGCCCAGACACGTCTGCAAACACATAATTGAAAATAATAAAAATAAATGCAAGTGTGGCAGGACACACCTTGAAGACCAACACTCAGGGGGGCAGGGGCAAGTAGACCTCTGTGAGCCCCAGGCCAGCCTGATCTACACAGTGAGACCAGCCTCAATATTGCTGATGGATATGATCATGGTGATAATACTTCTTTTAGAAACTGGAAAGTGTTACAGAATATTCAATCACACTGTGGGCCCAGGCTTGGCATTTGTGTTAATTAAACAAAATCAACCTTAGGTCAGGAGGCAGAGTTTTAAATTAATCGACGGAAAGTAAACATAGAGAGTCAGAAGGCATCTGGGAGACACTAGAGAGATGCACATGAGGTAGTAGGAAGGGACTTCCTGTGGTGCTTTGTTTGTTTGTTTTGGCTGAGCAGAAGAATGCTGTCTTTCAGAGACACTGGCAAAGAGAGAAGTTCAGTTAGTTGCTACTCAGCTCCTCCAAACTCTCAGGTTTTTATCCCAGCCTCTGATTCACATGTCTTATTGATAAATAGAACAACAGAGATTTAATTAAGTTTCTCCTTCCAACCTTTTCTCCCTCAACTCATTATGGGGAGATATTCAGTAGGGAGTTCTGTTGTTTTCTATCCCAGAAGTGGCTGGGATAAGTTCCCAAAGATGTGTTTATGGTGGCCTCTGAAGACACCAGTGACGGGCAAGTACTGGGTTCTGAGAACCTGAGACTCTAAACTGTAGACTCAGCAGTTTTAGGATTTGATAGTTTTATTATCCAAAGTTCTGATCCCTTGAGTTGAGGTTTCCAGAGGCCGTTTAGGAGAGATCCACAGGGATAATATGGTTGGTTTGTGATGCTGGGTTACTAGCTCAAGTGCCTCTGATTCACATGTCTTATTGATAAATAGAACAACAGAGATTTAATTAAAAGCTCTACAGAGCCAGTGCCTGCTGGAATGGAATTCCCACCAGGCCGCCACCTGAGTAGCTCCTTGCCACTGCCAGAGAAGCAGGCCAGTAACTGTGGAACAACAATTACTGACTGCAACAGCAGCAGATCAAAGTGCAGCTTCATCAAAGCAGTTGAAAAAAACAGCATTGGTATCCAGCACGTGGCACAACCACACAGAGAGTTCACATCAGTAGACTGCCTCCTCTTGGGTGACCTCAGAAGGCCCTGAGCCTGACCCTGACAGTGCTGTTGCTGTGGACAAACTGAAAAGCCAGCAGATTTGGTGCTATACCTGGGACGTCTTTAAGGAGGGAGTTAAATAATTAGTATTATTTAAAAAGAATATTCTTTCCTGTGTTAAGAATCAGAAGTATCACAATGCAGGGCTTTAGAACTCTGTATATAGTGCTACTACAGATGGCTTGTAATGAAAAAATACATGAGGGAATCAACCACTCAGCTGGAATTAACATAATGCTGTTAGTAATTACCATCAATTTGATACTTCATATTTTATCTGTAAAACAATGGTTTAGTAACCGTATCAGATACGAAAATTTCACTGGCAAAATACAAGCCTTAGAAGGACTTACAACTGATGAGATACAAGGAAAGATCTACTCCTTTAATCCCAGCAATCAGGAGACAGAGACAGGTGGATCTCTGTGAGTTTGAAGCCAGCCTGGTCTACAGAGCAAGTTCCAGGACAGCCAGGGATACACAGAGAACCCCTGTCAAGGAAAGAAAGAAAGAAAGAAAGAAAGAAAGAAAGAAAGAAAGAAAGAAAGAAAGAAAGGAAGGAAGGAAGGAAGGAAGGAAGGAAGGAAGGAAGGAAGGAAGGAAGGAAGAAAATACTGAGACACAGACTACTGTATCACTGTGTGATTAAACTGGAGGGGGGGCAGCCCAAGGTTATTAGAAAACCAAACTTGGTTTACCCTTTAAACAATGTTTTTCTAGATATAATCCAAGCAGAAGGTCCAGCTTTCTGGAGTATGTAGAAAGTGTGACAAAAGTTGACACTGGACTAATGAATGCAGATCAACAAGGGACAGACAAGGTAAACCTTTGCCATTGAGACACACCTGAGGGGGGATCCCACAGACCCCAATATCAAATTTTGTTCAATCATTCCCTGTCAGCATGGAAGAAACTGCTCACCAGAGCAAATAAAAGACTTAATGCCTATTGTTAAAAACCATACTGCTCTGGATGTGATAAAGGAATGAACAGCTTCAGTAGATCAAACAAAAAAATTTCAAGAGAGCCCATTAATCAAGTATTTTGGCAAACTTCTGTAAATGGCCAAAGTTCAAAACAAAAGTATGAGTAAGTGGCATGGTAGTTTAAGATTTAGTAGTCATAGGGGCAAATGTGACAATAATTTCACCAAAAACTTGGCATTAGATTGTCCTCTTTCAGAGGTAAATATTCAGCCTTTAGGGATTAGAACTTCAAGTCAGGAAAAATAAAGTACAAAGTGTGTTGAGTGTCTAGGGCCAGAAGAACAGATGGGAAAATTAGAGCCATATGTGGTTAACAGAGCCATAAATTTATAGGAATGTGATTTGTTGCAGCAATGGAAAACACACACTAATATTCCTCCAATCTCAGAAACAAACCATAAAAAAGAGAAAGCTTCTAATAAAAATATCACAAGGTATTATCAAGAATGGTCACAGAACATTCAGGTTGTACATAAGAGGGACACAAGGCTGTTGGTCTTTATCTTTAAAATAGTTCGCTGAAAACCTGTTTGGGTAGAACAATAACCTTTGACAAATTACACGCACTAGAAAGATCTGGCACAGCAGCAGTTAAATGCTCAACATATTGTAGAATCGACCAGTCCTTGGAATTCTCCTCTATTTGTCATTAGAAAGAAATCTGAAAATTAGAGAATGTTAGCAGATTTGGGAACCATAAATAAGGTGATTCAGCCAATGGGCTCTTTATAGCCTGGAAATCCCTAGCCTTCTCTATTACTAAAGGATAGTCTATTACAGTGATTGATTTAAAAGGCTGCTTTTGTACTATACCTTTAAAAGAACAAGATAGAGGAAAATTTGCCTTCACAGTGCTTACTTATAATAATTCTCTACCTACTAGAAAGTACCAATGTAGAATCTTGCCACAAGGAATGTTAAATAGCCCCACCTTGTGTCAATATGTTGTACAGCAGCCATTGGAAATAATTTATACAGTTTTCTTAATCTATAATTTACCATTATATGGGTGATATCTTACTAGTTGATTCTGATACTAAAACTTAGAAAAATGTTTGATAAAGAGAATTCTGCTTTGTTGAGGACTGCAAATTGCTCCTGAAAACAATACAGAGGAGATTCTATTAATTACCTAGGATATAAGATAGCTTACAAAAAATTCAGCGACAGAAAGTATAAATCAGGAGAGATCAAGTGAAAACTTTTAATGATTTTCAAAAGTTGCTAGGAAATATTAACTGGCTATGGCTCACAATTGGATTAATAACCCAAGAACGAAGTAATTTCTTTCAAACTTTATGAGGTGATAAGAGCTTAAATAGTTCAAGAAAATTATCACCTAATTCTGAGAGAATTG